AAAAAAAAAAAAAAAAAAGGTCTCCTGACTCTCAGTGCTCTTACAGCTATTCCACACTGCCTCTTATCCTTTTGCCCTTTTCTTAAGAAAGGAGTGATGAATTATGTGAAAGAGGGGAGAAATAAGAGAGACAACGTGTCAGAAAGTATGTTGGTAGTCACTGGTGCACACAGCATTGCTTAGTAACAAAAGCAGGGCTTAACGAGAAAGGAAAGACTTTGGGAAGAACAATTCTCTCTTATCCAAAACTCTTGTAAAAACAGAAAGCAAAGGAACATGGCCAGGAAGGAATGGTTCAATATTCAAAGAAAGGAGCAAAGTAGGCAAGAAGATAATAGGAGGATTTCAAAAGGCAAGAGATAAACAGCTTGACATGAAAAATGAAAAGGGAACATAAACGTATCAGAGGATAAAGGTTAAGTAGTATAGAGTACCAAACTAATGCATCTAAAGTTCAGGATGTATGATGAAATCTAGGAATCTGAACTATTCAGAAGAAAAAGAGACATGATCTAAGAGTTCAAAAGACAAATATTAGCATATGGAGTCATAATACTAAGTGCCTACAAAACAGCCAATATGCAATTACACTCACTTGTAATCACTCAAGCAATAATCATTTTTAAGTTCCATGTTATTCCAAATCAAGTGCTGTCGACAGATGGGAATACCTTAAGGGAAAGTTATTAAAAAAAAGTGTTAAAAGAATTCAATAGCATCTCCAAAAGAGTATGATACAAATCTATTTCATTAAGGAACTAAGAGTACTAATAAATTAAACGTTCTTCTAAATTGAATGCTAGGTGCTAAAATTTACAGAAGGCATGCCTAAAAGGAGATATAGTCCAATCCATTCACTGTAGAAAAGAACAGATGTTGCAACAACTCTCTGGTCCTAAAACAAGGTATAAGATAGACAGCCCTTTAAAAGGCAAGATAACATGCTCCTGCACAGCAAAAGAAGCTATCAACAGAGTAAAGAGATGATCTACAGAATGGGAGAACATATTCACAAACTGTGCATCTGACAAAAGTCTAATATCTATATGCGATAAAGAACTTAATTCAACAAACAAAAAACAACCCCATTAAAAAATGGGCAAAGGACATGAACAGACACTTCTCAAAAAAAAAAAGACATATATGTGGCCAACAAATATATTTTAAAAGCTCAACATCACTAATCATTAGAGAAATGTAAATCAAAACCACAATGAGATACAAGCTCATACCTGTCAGAATGGCCATTATTAAAAAGTCAAAAAATAACAGATGTTGGCAAGGTTGAGGAGAACAGGGAACGCATACACTGCCGGTGGGAATGCAAATTAGTTCAGCCATTGTGGAAAGCAGTGTGGAGATTTCTCAAAGAGTTTAAAATAGAACTACCATTCAACCCAGCAATCCCACTACTGGGTATATACCCAAAGAAAAATAAATCGTTCTATCAGAAAGACACATGCACTGGTATGTCCATCACAGCACTATTCACAATACCAAAGAGATGAAATCAATCAAGACGCCCCCGCAACAGTGGACTGGACAAATAAAATGTGGTGCATATACACCACAGAACACCATGCAGCCATAAAAATAATAAAATTATGTCCTTTACAGCAACATGAATGCAGCTGGAGGCCATCATCCTAAGAGAACAAATGCAGGAACAGAAAACCCAAATACCGTGTGTTCTCACTTATAAGCAGGAGCTAAACACTGAGTATATATGGACACAAAGATGGGAACAATAGACACTATGGACTACATGGGGAGGAAAGGGATGTGGGTTGAAAAACTACCTATCGAGTACTAGGCTCACATCCTGGGTGACAGGATAATTCATACACCAAACTTCAGTAACACACAATTTACTCATGTAACAAACCTGCCTATGTATCCACTGAACCTAAAATAAAAGTTGAAAAAAAAAAAAAAAGATATTGGGCTGGGTGCAGTGGCTCATGCCTGTAATCCCAGCACTTTGGGAGGCCGAGGCAGGTAGATCACGAGGTCAAGAGATTGAGACCATCTTGGCCAACATGGTGAAACCCCATCTCTACTAAAAATACAAAAACTAGTCAGGCATGGTAGCAGGCGCCTATAGTAGCAGCTACTCGGGAGGCTGAGGCAGGAGAATCACTTGAACCTGTGAGGCGGAGGTTGCAGTGAGCCGAGATTGCGCCACTGCACTCCAGCCTGGCAACAGAGTGAGACTCCATCTCAAAAAAAAAAAAAAAGATATCATGAATCAGGCCTGAAGAGTTTAATATTTAAGGCCTAAAATGGAAATCAAAAGCAAACAGGAATAGCTATTCTTATATCATATAAAACAGACTTTAAAGCAACAACATTTAAAAAAAAAAAAAAAGACAAAGAAGGTCATTACATAATGATAAAAGGATCAGTCCAACAAGAAGATATTACAATCCTAAATATATATGCACCTAACTCCTGAGCTCCCAGATTCATAAAACAATTACTACTAAGAAAAGAGATAGACAACAACACAATAGTGGGGGACTTTAACACTCCACTGACAGCACTAGACAGGTCATCAAGACAGAAAGTCAACAAAGAAACAATGGACTTATACTGCACTCTAAAACAAATAGACCTAACAGATACTTACAGAACATTCGACCAAAGAACTGAAAAATATACATTCTTCTCATCAGCACATGAAACTCCAAGATCATATGAGAGGGCACAAAAAAGTCTCAAAAAATTTTTAAAAATCAAAATCCTGTCAAGTATCCCCCCAGACCACAGTGGAATAAAATTAGAAATCAACTCCAAATACACAGAAATTAAACAATCTGCTACTGAACGATTTTTGGGTTAACATTTTGAAATCAAAATGGAGATTTAGAAATTCTTCCAAAGGAATGATAATAGTGATACAAGTTATCTAAACCTCTGAGATACAGCAAAAGCAGTGCTAAGAGGCAAGTTTATAGTGCTAAATGCCTACATCAAAAAGTCTGAAAAGTCACAAACTGACATCATAGTTTGATGTGTAACATCACACCTCAAGGAACTAAAGAAACAAGAATGAACCAAACCCACAGCTAGCAGAAGAAAAGGAATAAAGATCAGAGCAGAACTAAATTGAATTGAAACAAAAAAATACTAAAGATCAAAAAACAAAAGGTTGGTTCTTTGAAAATATAAACAAAATCCACAGGCCATTAGCTATATCAATCAAGAAAAGAAAACAGAAGATGCAAATAAACTCACTGAGAAATAAAAATGGAGACATTACAACTTACACCACAGAAATACAGAAGATCATTCAAGACTACTACAAATACCTTTATGCACACAACCTAGACAATCTAGATGAAATGGATAAACTCCTAGAAACATACAATCCTCCTACCTTAAGTAAGGAAGAAATAGAAATCCTGAACCAATAACAAGCAGTGGCAATGAATCAGTAATTTTTAAATTGCCAACAAAAAAAAAGCCCAGGGCTAGATGGATTCACAGACTAATTCTACCAGACATTCAAAGAATTGGTACAGGCTGGGCGCGGTGGCTCAAGCCTGTAATCCCAGCACTTTGGGAGGCCGAGACGGGCGGATCACGAGGACAGGGGATCCAGACCATCCTGGCGAACACGGTGAAACCCCGTCTCTACTAAAAAATACAAAAAAACTAGCCGGGCGAGGTGGCGGGCGCCTGTAGTCCCAGCTACTCGGGAGGCTGAGGCAGGAGAATGGCGTAAACCCGGGAGGCGGAGCTTGAAGTGAGCTGAGATCCGGCCACTGCACTCCAGCCTGGGCGACAGAGCCAGACTCCATCTCAAAAAAAAAAAAAAAAAAAAAAGAATTGGTACTGGCCAGGCTCGGTGGCTCATGCCTGTAATCCCAGCACTTTGGGAGGCCAAGATGGGTGGATCACGAGGTCAGGAGATCAAGACCATCCTGGCTAACACAGTGAAACCCCATCTCTACTAAAAATACAAAAAATTAGCTGGGTGTGGTTTACGCACCTGTAGTCCCAGCTACTTGGGAGGCTGAGGCAGGAGAATTGCTTGAACCCGGGAGGCAGAGGTTGCAGTGAGCCGAGATCGTACCACTGCACTCCAGGCTGGGTGACAGAGCAAGGCTCCGTTTCAAAAAAAAAACAAAAGAAAAGAATTGGTACCAATCCTACTCAAACTATTCCAAAAGATTGAAGAAGAGGGAATTGGCCAGGCGAGGTGGCTCACGCCTCACGCCTGTAATCTCAGCACTTTGGGAGGCTGAGGTGGGCAGATCACAAGGTCAGGAGTTTGAGACCAGCCTGGCCAATATGGTGAAACCCTGTCTCTGAGAGCTCAAAGCTGCAGTGAGCTGTCATTGTGCCACTGCACTCCAGGCTGGGTAACAAAGTGAGAACCTGTCTCAAAAACAAAAACAAACAAACAAAAATCTGTAATGGAAAAGTTAAAAGCATTAGAACTCAAAACACAGTAACAAGAAAACAACAAAAATTTGAATAGACACTTCACCAGAAAAGATACAGATGATGCAACAGACTGAGTGTTTGTATTCACCCACTCAAATTCATATGCTGAAGCCTAAATACCCAATATAATGGTATCAGAGGTAAGGCTGGGGGTCTTTGGAGGTAATTAGATCATGAGGGTAGGGTCCTCAAGAATGGGATTAGTGTCCTTAGAAGAGAGATGATCTCCCTCTCTCTTTCTCTCTTTACCATGAGAGGATATAGAAAGAAAACAGCTGTCTGCAAACCAGAAAGAGTGCCCTCACCAGACCCTAGACCTGTGGGTAATCTTGGACTTCCCAGCTCCAGAACTGTGAGAAATAAAATTCTGTTGTTTAAGCCATCCAATCTATGGTATTCTGTGACAGCAACCTGAACTTTTTTTTTTTTTTTTTTTTTGAGACAGGGTCTCATCTGTTGCCCAGGCTGGAGTGTAATGGTGCAATTTTAGTTCACTGCAACCTCTACCTCCTGAGCTCAAGCGATCCTCCCACTTCAGCCTCCTGAGCAGCTGGGACTCCAGGCGCATGCCACCACACCCAGATAATTTTTGTATTTTTAGTAGAGACAGGGTTTCACAATGTTGCTCGGACTGGTCTTGAACTCCAGGACATGAGTGATCCACCTGGCTCAGCCTCTCAGCCTGAACTTATTAAGACAGATGACAAGCAGATTAAAAGATGCATAACATCATCAGTCACTAGGAAACTGTAAATTAAAACCACAGTGAAATATTGCCAATTCATATTATAATAGCAAAAATGAAACAAAAACTGAAACTAAAAGAACCCAGACAATATTATTAAGTGCTGATAAGGATACAGAGCAACCAGAACTTTTACGTATTACTCATACAAACACAAAATGGTAACAGCCGCTCTGGAAAATAATTTAGCAGTTTTATAAATTTAATATATACTTCCTATGCAATTCAGCAATTCCACTCTTAAGTATTCACCCAAGTGAAATAAAAACCTATGCTTCCATAAAAATGTGTATGTGAAAATTTATATGACTTTATTTGTAATCACTAAAAACCACCCAGATGTCCCTTAACTTGGGAATGAATAACTATGGTACTTCCTTATAACAGAACATTACTCGGCCATAAACAGAATGAACTACTGATACATGTAACAATATGATAAGTCTCAAATGTATTATGCATAAGTGAAAAACA